GAAAAATAGTTTCATTTCCTAAGTAAGGATGATATTCTGCAGTACATCTAAAAGCTCGTTCGTAAAAAGAAGCGGGGAAATGAACTGGTGGAACTCATGGTCACATTCAGCGAAGTATAATTTGTAAAAATCCGACAGTCGTAAACTTTGTGCCGGTGGGCTAAAGTGGGTGGTGAAGTCAAGAACCTCTAGTTGATATTTCGCTGAGCCATCTCCACACGTGACTACAATACTCCTTTAAGTCGAACTTTCGAGATGCACCTCGAGAGATGACATTAAATGTGGAGTGGCCGCGAGAGTGCGAAGCGAGTAACAAGTATTTTATTATTGATTTCTCGAAAAATCTTATCTCGTGTATATCATTCAAGTCTATGCGTTATTTTTACATTATACACAATATAAGTGACGACCAGAGCATCTGTGAATTGTTTTTCTTAAATATCGATGGTTAAATACGTATTTTTTTTAAGAAACCAAGCCGATAGCGAGCTTAAGCAACATTGTTACCCACACATATCCAAACTTACCGGCAAAATGAGAGACTGCCTGACTTGCCAGAAACATATCAATATCGGAAAGTTATTGACTGTAGTAGACGCCGAGGAAAGTTTTATTACGCCTGTGTGGATATACTTGGTTCCAGATTTACAAGAAACAAGCATGAATTAGAACGTATTTGGATATGCCCGATTGCTCAATGGTAACATGACGACATCTTAAAAATGATTACACCCCGGGGCGATCACAAAGCTACCTCTTGTTGATATCGACATGTCTATAGACAACGGTTGTACGAAGGCCATACATTGAATGACACCATATAAATACTAACAATGTATCTAGCCCTGCTCAATTATCAAAGAGTGCAAGCCCGGAAAAGTTACATTTACACTCGAACAGATAGGACACTTGTTAGATGGAAAACTTTGAACTAATACTAAATACCTCCTATAAGAAATGGCAGTACTAAAATTCTACAGTGCAAACCGACATAATATCCGCTTTGATTGAATTTAAATTGGAAATGACAAATCAAACTAAAACACTATCACTCGAACAAGATTATCTAAAAACCAAAACTAAGTTAATTTTGAAAAACAAATGTTTGAACAAGAACTAATTGAGTTGCAGCAAAAAATCAATTCATCTCTAACATGCGACCCCAATGCCTTTAGTTGCGATTGTGACGTCTCGCGCAAATTTGTTATATAAGGACTCGAGGAATAACAACATGAAACCTAGGCCGCCTTGCACGATAGAGTAATCAGACAGAGACATCATCCGTAATATTTTAAATGCAAATCTGATGGGGTATATTGAAGATATGCGGCGATAGGAAGAAAAGGATACCGGGAGCCATTTATGATTGAATTATTAAGTAAAAATATGTCGAGGTACAGATCGATCGAGATACTAACTACAAAATATCCGTCTTTTTAGAAATAGTGGTGTTGAAATTTTTAGATAAAACTTCCGCTCAAATCAACAGGAAACATGAAGATGAAAATATGCAGTTATTCGAAATAATAAATTATATGTAGAAGGAAAGAATACAAGAATTAACACAACAACTGAACAGGCGCCACTCTTACCCCAACAACCAAGACCTACACACTACTCCAATATCTTACAGTAAAAACGTATTTGCGTCTCATAAATCAAATAATCATTCCTTTTGACAATAATTTTTAAATGAACAAAACAAAACAAAACGTACAAAGTATAAATAATAAGATCAACATATTGGAAAGTTGGTGAAAAGAGTACAATTTCGACGTAGTCTGTCTGTCTGATACATACCGATGAAGTAGACTTGTTCTAGAGTAGCAACCACGTCAAGGCAAACGTTCTGAGAAAGGTGGCTGACAGCAGTTGGATGCGGGCAGCACAGGACCGGGAGAGTTGGCAAGTTCAGGGGGATGCTTGTGTGCAGCAGTGGGTGCATCAAATTTCAAGCTGTCGGTAAAAGAGACAAATATACCAGAAAAGAAAGTTTCAAATAAAATGGACTCCTCTTTATTGAAAATAGGCCTATGTTTTGGTGACGTAGAAACTGTTCAGACAGACTGTTCAGAAAACAAATTTGTTTACGTTCTTTACACAAATAGCTTCCATCTTGCAGCTGACACCGCCAAGTTATCTAATTGTGTCTCCCGAAAGTTGAAAATTCATATTCGTCTGCAAGAGATATTCAAGACTCTCTTAGCGTGAAAGTGAGTATATTGATGAATCTTCATAACTCAAATTCACGTTCCCGTTAGACTTTTTTTATGATGCTAAGTGACGCGACGAACAAGTGCGCCTGATGGTAAACGACACGCCTGTCCATAACAGTTGCAGTGGCACTCAGAGCTTTAAATCGCAAGTATCTGAGAGGCGCTGCCTCTGCGCCCATCACCCTGAGACATGGTTGAAAGTCCCATGTGCCTGCAATTTCACCAGCACCCTTACCTTTCAAAACCGGAACGAAATAGGTAAGGTGGCAGTATTTCCCTGGATGTACTCTTTCACAAGGAGGTCTACTGCTGAAATCAGATTAAGTCTCAAAATCGTAGAATGGAGTCGTGCCGAGTGCCGAGCCCGTGTTTCCGAAGCTCTTGTTTTAAATATTCTTACCAGTCTGAATTTCGACCGCACCATCAATTCCATTGCTAAAATTGGTGCCAAGAAATTGGAGGTACTTTTCAGAGAGAGACGGTGTTTAAAATGATAACAACTCTTTAATAATTATTTATAGCATAAAGAAAAGACACATGAAACACAAGTTACAAAGGACATATACAAAGATGAGCTTATCTCGAGAAAAGATCTCTTCTAGTTGATTGGTTTGCTGTTAATAACCTACTCCTTAATGAGAAAAAAACAAATTGTGTGAAATTTACATTACCCAATGTGAGAGAGACGGCTACAAACATTGTAGTTAGAAACGAAAAATTGAATCTTGTGGATACAGTTGCATTTCTAGGTATAACGTTAGATGCTAAATTGCAATGGGGTCCCCATAAAATAAGTTATCAAAACGGCTCGGCTCTACAGTGTACGCGATAAAAAAAATTAGGAAACTTTCAGGCGTCGAAACCGCTAGATTGGTTTACTTCAGCTACTTTCACAGTCTAATGACATACGGCATTTTGCTTTGGGGTAATGCCGTCGATATCAATAGAATCTTTGTCCTGCAGAAACGTGCAGTTAGGGCAATTTATAATCTGGGCCCCAAAGTATCTTTGAGAGATAAGTTTAAGGAAATTAACATTCTTACACTAGCCTCACAGTACATTTATGAAAATGTAATTTATGTTAAAAGGAATAGTAATTTATTTATGAAAAATAGTGACAGCCATAATAACATTCATACGAGGAATAGAAATAGACTAGCTCTTCTTGATAGTCGTCTTCACAAAGTCAAAAAATCATTTAAGGGACAATGTATACGCTTCTATAACAAGATTCCGGTTGATATACAAAATTTGCCTTTCACGAGGTTTAAAACTATAGTGAAACAAAAACTTTATACTAAAGGTTATTATACAACTTCTGCTTCTTGGATGACAAAAATCCGTGGTAGTAACCCGTTTAGCTCATGGAGGTAGTCTCGATCTCTGATGTTTCAAATAAGAAAATATATATATTGTAAATGTTGAATGTGTACAAATGTTATTTACAAGGAGCAACCCCTGGAGTTTCTCGCTCATTCTTCTCAGGGGAATCTGCCTTACGAATGAGCTGTAGAATTTAACCATTGTGACGATTTCAAGTCTAATAATGCTTACCTATGAAATAAAGATTATGAATTTGAATTTGAATTTGAGCCAACTTTTTGCGGGACTAATATTGTACGATAAAATTAAAATTTAAATGTGAATAGAAAACATAAATGATGATAATATACACATGAGAGACATACGCGCCTACATGAACTTTCTATATTACATAAATACAATAATTATAAAATACTTTAGTCTTTATCGAGCTCAAATTAGCTCTTGTATGGAGTACTATTATTGTCACCGTTAGAACAGGTCTGTCAACAGTGTGCCTTGAATTCATTAGAACGTCGATCTAAGATACGCACTGGCAATTTCCTCGTGAAGGCAGACCTCCAAAGCTGCAAACCACACATTTATGGGACTGTGCAATATACCTCCGCATAACCCACGATTTAATCCTGCTTGCTTCTTTCCATCTCCGATCAACCAGATGCCACTCTTATACTGTAAGTGCTAGGAAGCCTTAGAGGATGGAAAAGAAGGAATGCTCTAAGATTCAGGCAGATTTCCAAAAAATTGTACTATTTTTAACCGATTTCAAAAAAGGAGGAGGTTCTCAATTCGACTGTGTTCTTTCTTTTTTTTTTCTTTTTTGGTATGTATGTTACGCGATAACTCCGGTATTTGTGAACCGATTTTCATGATTCTTTTTTGTTGGAAAGGGGGTACTTCCATAGTGGCCCCTTTTCATTTTGAAGAAAGTCATCTACCTCGAAGGGTGGCTGTTCACGCATGAAGATTCATTTTTATAAATAGCGCCTAACTTTAATTTAGGAGCAATTACTTTATTGGTTGATTTTGCTATTTCTCCAATTCAAGGCGTTTTTCTCTGAATATACTTTGAGTAGTGTCGTAGTGAGCGCCTATTTTTATTATCTCCGGTGTCAAGTCCTGTATAATGGCGAACTAGGGGATATTTATATACTTTTGAGGTCGGTTTTTTTTAGTATTCTGTACTGAGATTATTTCTTGGCTTTTCGCGGTTAGCTTTTCTGTCATTTTATAATAGTTCTTAATTAAATGTACCTGATAATAGCGATTGCCGATTTTACGATAACATTAGTAATGATAATGTGGGCCATCTTATGTTGTAAACTTGATTTTTATTTTATTATCTCGTTAAAGTTTTCACAATCCATCTATCTTCAAAACTAGACACTTCTCGTAGCTGGCATTATATGTGTCTAAGCATATTATGTCGATATGCCTTGGTTTATAATTTACTTTCAACGTTACTTAATCTAAGTACTTTCATAAAAAGTTACACAATCTCAAATAAATCTCCGCGTTTTTATGTTTTACGAGAGGGAGCAAATTCAATTCCACTACAATAAAGTGGAACGTGAACTATGTATCAATAAACCATGCCGCGAGAAAATATTTTAATCTTACCGTTTAGCCTATTGCTTATGTTCGGGCAATTGAAAATAACATACGCAGTCTTCGAGTCAGAGGCAGACCAGAAGTAATATAAGAACTGAACTTTGCAATCGTTTGTATGCAGTTTACTGAGAAAATAATTTTTATTGTTTCACGTTACAGATTTACGGACGCGAAAATCATAGCGGAGACCACTTTAACTGATTTCTTTATGTTGTATTGGAATTGCGTCACTACCACCATGCCTAAGCAACGGTGAGAATATAACAGGCCGACGAAGCTCTGCCATTGTCGCCATCGCCGCCACCGCCGCTGTGCGCGGCTGCCTCGCCCGGCGCGCGCGGACAGATGTGAGGCAGTCGCGCGTGGCCTCACTCTTCCGCACTTCTGTCGCCTAGGTTCAGTCAAGCATTCAACTATCTTTATCCCAGGGCACTTCCCCGTCCGAGCCCTAAATGACAAAGTACTCTGAACTCGTTTAAACTTTCAAGAAGATAATTCACTCAAGCCTAATACCTATTTTATTCTCAGATCATACCTATAGACATAATTAAAGTTTATTTTGTGTCTATGAAGAGCTACAAAAACACTAAAACCAGTTGATCAAGTAAAATATGTCGTTGTCAACGTTCTTGACTCCCTTCGAGCCTTTTCTTTATTTCATGATCACTTCCACGTGCTGTTTTCCCAATACGGATAGTATGCTTATTATAAGTATGCATGCTTAATAACGTCGGAGATCTGCAAATCCGCGTACGTAAATATAAATATAAACTTTCTGCACAATAATTTATGTAGTCTACGGACTGATAATAATAGAGCCCCATAAATCACGCTAATTTGGTTGCCACGACATTTACGCGGATTTGATTTGGCCGCTAAATTACCGAAATGGAGACGCATAATCAAATGCTAGTTACGCGTAAGTGCACTATCCCCCGAAGTTATTAAATAAATTATATATATAAATTCATCATAACTGTAGTTCCACCAAAGTTTTAGCAAAATCTTTCTATACTATCATCATCAAACCCTCGTCACTGTTATAGAGGCAAAAGACATGAAAACTGATAATTAGAGTGCAAATTCAAAGTGTTTAGCTGTAGTACCGGAGTTCCTGTCGCAAACAGAAAAGAAAATTGTAAATGCAGAGAATCTAAGAACTGTCGTGAATAACACAGGATTTAAAATTGTATTAGAGCGTAGTAAACCTTTGCAGGTGGAAACAAATTCCATACAGGACACGTACGCAGTATTCCTTTGAACTATTCTAGATCCATACTCCTTGTCCGATACTTATACGCCCTGGACGGCGAGGCTTCAAAAAATGAAGTACCTGATTTCGATAATGTGATTTCCGCGTAATTTTTCCGAGCATTGTGACAGCACAACTGGCACCGCTCTTGGTCACAGGACCAAGAGCAGTCCAAAGATGGCGGCATGGACGACAAGAAATCAAGTGTTTATTACATATTCATTAGTGACTTACTTAAAAGTATGGATGTTAATTAACATTTTTAGGTTCCTGGTGGACAATCTGCAAACGTTTATTTTGTCGCCGGCGCGCACAACGGTGGGCTTTGCACCTAAATTCATCAAGAACCGCAAGTTCTTTGCCAACCTCATCAACACCAAGTTCTACAAATCCATGTTGCAACAGGATGAGAATACGGTGAAGATGAACCTCATTAAGAAGTTGGAGTTTTGCGACGAGATGATCATGGATCAGAACTTGCTTAAGGAGTTCTACGACCGCGAAGTCGACCAGACCAAACTCAAGAAGTGAACACAACGCTAAGATATCGATACTAATAAACGAATACTACATATAACACGCAGCCTTAACATTCTTTCACAAAAAACGTAGGCGCTGGTGTGCCAATTCATATTACAAATTAATGTTTTACACTAACTACATCATAAAACGACGGTGTGTATCGTTATTACTACACTACAGCCAACTATAGACCCATCTCGCTAGCTACTGTAGTCTAGGCTCTACTCTATGAGTAGAAGTATTGGATGAATGAATATAGATTTGTGTTTAAAATGTATTTAAAAAAATAGGATAGGAAAAAGATCATCTTGGCAGTTCTAGTAGAAGCCTCCAAAAAACAACATGTACAATACGTAATATATATTTTCACTTTTTATTGTGTTTTTGTGCGCTTCGTAGTGAATAGGGGCAAAGTAAAAAAACTATACAACGAATCATACACCGGCACAGAAATTTTCGGGCCTAAATGATGTGGAGGAGTTTCTGGGCCAGTTTGAGGCAATCAGCGTGATAAATAACTGGTCGGATGGGCAAAAAAGATATGTAATTGCGACATATCTGGAAGGGCCAGCCTTGCAGTGGTATAAAACCCATTTTTCTTCATATGCCACCTATGATATCGTTGCGCAAAAGTTAAAAGAGCAGTTCCCCTCGCAGGTCGATTATGCTCAAGAGTTTTGTACAGGCGGCAGATACCTAATGAGCCGCTCCTGAATTATTTTTATAATCTGGATAGTTTGGCGATAAAAGCAAAGATACAGGACGATGTGAAATTTACAAAACATTACCTAAAATCTTTAGCTCCCAAGTATCAGTGGATGCTTGCTAGCAAGTTGTTCGCGTCTAAAGACGAGTTGAGAAAAACGATTATACACATGGAAGATGTATTTAATCGACAATCAAACTTAGAACAACAGGGTATCGAATTACCGGTGTGTATTTCGAAGGAATGTTCTCAGTCTTGGCAAGCACATCGAGATCCCTCACCCGTTGGTGGATCCATCACAGCTTATTCAGATTATCAAACGCCACAAACTCCGATCACGGCCGTCGTTCCGTTTGACGTTCAGCGAAATACGCCACGCGGAAGGTATAACTTGAGACCTCGGCATGTATATTCGCAAGCACAAGGAAGTGGTTCTTCGACGAGTTATCCCCAACGTCGATTTTATCAAGGCGCAGCTGCTCATTCAAGAGGCGATCACCCAAACACACCGCCACGCCGATAGATAGCCGGGATGGTCGGACGTGGAATGCGAAACCGGCGTGCTTGGAACAAAAATTGTGTGTAGTTGATAAGTGTAATGTAGATTGTAGATGTAGATTTACCCTACCTATATAGATACCCTTTATAACCATTTGTATAAATAATATAGATTGCGAGGCCTTGGTGGATACTGGTGCTTTTGTTTCAATAATCTCACAATTGTTTGCAGATAAATTGCATTTGCAGATTGAAAATGTCCCAAAATGAGTTCCTTATTTTGGGACAGGACTTTCTGACGGTAAATAGTGCGGTAATTGATTTTGCAGACTTAGAAGGACGGGAGGAGAAGATGGACTACCGACTTGGATAGATATTACTCACTTTTTAATTTTTTTATGGGTATGTTGTCCTGTGTGGGTGCATAGTTCGTGGTCATTCTCCCAGATGAACAAGAACTGTCTGCATTCAAGGAAAATATATTTGTTTAATTATTAGGAATCCTCCATATGGTATATCGCCATATCATATATGTGTTAGGAAATGTTGTTGTTGTTAGGATAATTTGCGTGTTGTTTTAATTTGTTCAAAGAAAGTAAGAAAGTTAGGTGGAACGCGGACGAGGACTAAGGCAGCTGGGAAGTAAATATTGATGTTCCCCAGTGGACGTCCGATGGGTGCTCAAGCCTGTGTCGTCGTCGTAGCAGCGTGTACGTTGAAGATAGTTTAGTGATGCATTTAGGAAGTTCTAGTAGTGATGTTTAAGGATTTGTTAGGAACATTCAGCCAAGCTAGGGTAGCTGAAATAAAGAGTTAGGATTTAGATAGGTTACCTAAATAGCTAGGATAGCTAACGAATAATTATATTTTGAATTGTTTGATTAGGATGTGGTTATGGTCTGTCCTTTTAGATAGGTTTTTGGCAGACTAAAGCCACAGCCTCCTCGGTTGTTTGCTTGTTGGTAAGGTAGTAGCTTCCGAGCAGTGTGTGGCTAGCCTAAGTAAAGGCATCACTTATGTAAGTTGCCTATCATAGATAGGGCACCAGCTAGGGATGTTCACCCCTTCAGTTGTGAGGAAGAGGGATGTAGTCTAGGCTCTACTCTAAGAGCAGAAGTACTGGCTGAATGAATATAGATTTGTGTTTAGAATGTATTTAAAAAAGTAGTATAGACAAAAGAAGAACATCTTGGCAGTTCTAGTGGAAACCTCCAAAAAACAACATGTACAATACGTAATAATTATTTATTTATGAAGATATTCCCAATTTATATTTAAAAGGATCTCTCGCTACACTACCTGACCTACGTCCTATGCTATACTACTGTGGTGGCCAAGGTGTTTGAGAGCTAGCTTATTCAGGCGAGGATAACACCATGCTTAAAAATAAGCGATGCACAATTTGGGTATAGGCCGGGGCGTTCGACGGACATGGCAATATTTTCTTTCAAACAAGTAGTGAACTACTATGTTGACAGGAAAACTACAGTGTATGCATGTTTCCTAGATTTGAGTCGGGCTTTTGATACATTGGACCATTCCATCTTGTGGGAGAAGCTGTCTGGACAGGGTGTTGTTTGTTGTCTGTGGACTTGTTGATCTGTTGACTTATTGGTACAGTCATCAAAAGAGCAACATTAGGTGGAGAGCTGTCCTATCTGACAGTGTAGGGTTGAGATTTAGTGATAGATTTATTAACAACATCAGTTATGCAGATGATATGGTGCTGCTCAGCCCGTCGATCAAAGGTGTTAGGAAGTTAATTTCTATATGTGAGTGATACGTCTAAGCTCATCACGTGGTGTATAATTCGAAAACGACTGAAATGGTTGTTTTCAGGTCAGGAAGAAGTCCAAATGTAATTCCACCCATATATTTAAAAGATCAGGTTGTTAGAGTGGTGAAAATTTTCAAATACCTTGGCCACATCGTATCATGTAACCGAAAATATTTATTTGATTATAGACGAGCTTTACCAACTTTCGCCTGGTATGTGTACATCACACAGTATTGAAATTTAAATTATATCGTTGTTTTAGTTCACTTTTTTAGCACTGATTTACTCTTTCGTAGCCAGTTGTCGAGCTTGTTTTTGAAGGCATTAACAGAGACAGCAGAAACAACATCTTCCGGTAGCATGTTCCAATTGTGCACCACTCTGTTGCTGAAAAAATTGTGTGCACCAGGAGTTTTCGAAGGGGCACGAACTAGTTTCAGATGGTGGCCACGTGACGGTTTAAAGTTTTCTTTTCTTTTAAAGACGTTTTGTATTGCTGCTAGATTGTACTGACTCATCAGGGAAAATTGCATGAAAAAACATTCAACACAAGCGCAGCTAATTTTGCACGTTTGAACCTTCACTGGGTTCACGGAGTAGCAAATTAATTTACTTCCATTTTTATTAACATGGACTTCCGCAAAGTAACGCAATCACTACAAACGTTCAAAAATAAATGCAAAGCGTGCCTACTGGACGCTCAAAAACGTGACATACTACCTTAATTGCTACATTAGTACTTACCAAAGGGTTACCTGCGCTCGGCATATGCGGCACCTGCGGCAGTCAGTTCCTTTGCTTATTAGCCCTTTCTCTTTTTTTTCTCTCCATTTACGGGCTCGAGTAAGAGGAAGAGGTATGTTGATGACGTGTTTTGCATAATGGAGGGAAAGAAGCAACATATACAAAATTATTTAGCACGTCTTATCAACACCCATAACAAAATGAAGTTCACTTGTGAAATTAAATCGCAAGAAAAATCGCGCGCTTGCATTTATGGATGTATTGGTCAAAGTCCGACAAGACGGTTCACTCGGTCATTCTGTGTACAGAAAACCAACTCACACGGACAAATATTTATATGCCACTTCACATCATCACCCAAAACACCTACATTCGGTTCGTCAGGTCATTAACCAATAGAGCTTATGATCTTTGTGATTCACACCACCTACCACAGGAACAGGAGCACGTTAAGGCGGTTTTGGAAGAAGCAAATTGACGTACAGAGACTACCAGTTTTTCTGCCCTATGTACAAGGGGTGACAGATAAAATAGCCAGGTCACTAAGGAAGTTTTCCATAAAAACTGTTTTCACCTCCTTAACCAAAATACTCCCATACGGGCATGGGTTGTGCGACCAAACAGGTTGTTGCCTGTTCTAAAGTCACCCGCTCCCGCAACTCGCCTCGAGCCCCGGTCCGCGTGGACACGACTCTTCACTAAATTGCCTATACATTTTATATATTATCAAATTTGTATAAAAATATTAGAATTTAAGTTTATATTATTGGTGTACTGTTATTTACATATTAAAAGTATTTCACATGTGTATGTAGTTGCATGTACACTACATATTATGTCGGTTTTCTTATCTGTTAATTTATTTATTGTTGAGTTAAATATGTATTGTTGTCAGTGGCTCACTCGCCCGGGCTTGCTGAAAATCAGCGCCACGAAACGGTTTTAAAAAAAGCCTTTTTGTGGCTAAAGCTGAGCAAGTTCCGAGTGCACCAGGCGCGACACGCATGACGGTGATTTAGGTACTGCATTATCAATAGTTATAATTTTTAATTTTTTTTATATATTTTATTATTATTGTATCATTATTTATTTTAGACTCTCGCTTCTTCGAGAGCCTAAAAGATTAATTTTGAATTATTATTATTGTTGTTCCTCTATTGTTTTGTCTATATGCGTGTCTGTGCTTGTGTAATAAACAGTTTTCTTTCTTTCTTTTTTTCAAATTAATTTACTTCCATTTTTGTCTCACGATGCCTTACGTGTTCAGGACAATAACACATTCAGACATTTGATGAGCCTGGAGCAACACTGTATCGCTTCTGGCATGTTCATGCAAATTTGCAAGCTTGTATCGACACGTTCTGTGCCATCGGGAGACATCATATAGCTTCTTCTTTTATGAATAGGCTAGGACGGAATAGCAATGGCTTAATTCGAGAGTTGTGGAATTAGTGGAGGCGAAGCTGCAGACCCTTGAACACCGCCGTTGCTTATCGGTATTTTACAGGATATATCACGAAGAGTGTGCGATGGAATTATACGGTCTAATTCCGCCTTCCTCTTTCCATTACCGAGGGAGTAGGCGAAGGCTTAGGTTCCACCTTTATGTTGTGGATATTCCAAAGATTCGCACGAAGCGTTACGCTTCCACATTTATATGGCGAACGGCTATGGAGTGGAATTCCCTGCCTGCAGACTTGCTCCCTGAAGGTTATAACTTGGGCCTTTTTTTAGGAGTACATGCTCCATTGTCGACCTCATCGTCACTTTACAACAGGTGACATGGAGGTGAAATGCGCACTTACGTTTTATAAAAAAAAAAGAAAAGTTGTTTGCTCGCCCGACTACCACGTCGATGTACAACCGTTGGCTCGAAATCGTCACGTAGGGTGAGCTTGACTTGAATTAATCCTATTTTATTATTATTATTATTAGCCTGTCAATAAGAACGGCATTATACTAATGACTCTGAACAACTTTACTACGTCAGTAAAATAATTTTTGTTCTGTTTCACTACGAAGACAACTACCGCTCTCCAACCTTGGAGCACATAGCCTAATGCTAGGCTGATCTAAGAAGTGTCGACCAGGTGCTATACCAGCGTGTCTCCGCCTCATTATAGAAGTGCGGAGAAAATTCCATCTTGACCTGGAGCTTTGTGTGGTTTAAAAGTGTTTACTGGCCATTTTGTTTTGTCGTATGTTACCATCTGTTCAGCGTATTGCCAGTTGTTACTGAATGTATTGTAATTCATTTCTTCGCACCTGTTATCCTGAATGAACCAGCAACCTGATAAGAGTGTTCCAAACCTGCTTTTTAAATAATCTCGAAAGTCTCGACTTCCCGAGATTTTCGATACCGCACCGAGTCTCGATTTTTATGCCCGCGCCCATCGTGACGCGAAAAAGCAGCTAAACTGAAAGCCCTAATATCAGCAGTTAACATAAACGACGTTATTATAGAGAAGTTGGTCAAGCACATATACATTAATCAATATAATTTAAAGGTACGCAAGCCAAACGACCATATTTGTACCCTACAACTTTACTGTATAAATCTTGTGGGGTTCTAAGCAAGAGACAACTTTTCGTTTTATGCACTTTACTGAAAAAACATAAAGAACTTGTTGTTGACCCTACCATCTTACAGAAAAGGCGCTTTGATATAGTCTGTAACCAAGAATGCACGATACGTACGAGCTTCATTCAAAGATTTTTCATATTCCTAGGTACGTATGTATACAACAAAATTAATAAGGAGCTATCTATTTATACATTAAACAATATTCAATGTAAAAGAAAGATTAACTCTTGGTTACTTGGTCTAGGATATGATAATACTGAAGCTATATGTGAAATAGCTCAATAGTATTATTATTTTAGAAATAGAAATAGAAACCATTTATTGTAACGCCACATTATAAAAGAAAAAAAAACACAAAAACAAAGACTAATATTATAACTAAAACAGAAATAACACAAAGAACAGCGTAAAAACATTTCAACAACAAGTTGCATAATACTATACTGACATGTGTGCGGCTGTGGCGTGTACAAAAGGATCCCATTCAGCTAAAATCACAACCAAGGCTAGGTTGTGACGCTGGTTTTCAATGGGCCCTAGCCGAGTGAGTGAGAGTGACGGACGTATGCGTCCCGGAACAGATAATAAAATAAAATAAACTACGTAAATACTTATATCATGAGTGTGTATAGTGTTATTGCAGTGTGTACTCTTATATCGAATAAATACTTACATAATCTTTGCAATATATACATACAGGTATAAGTGTGTGTAGTGTGAAAACAAATTAATAAAATATTTAATACATATTTAAAGTACATTACTTCAAATATATTAAACAAGATTATCTATTTTCGTAAAATAAAAGTTCTTTGACTTCAACATTAAACAACTCTTGTTCTTACGCAGTTACTATTTCGAATAATGCTATGTGAATTAACATGTTTAAATGTTTATGATTATTAAGTTAAATAAAAATATACAATCAAAATAACGTATCACTAGTTTGTTATAATTATTAATACAAATATCGAACACTCAGAAAAAACACTCAGAAAAAATTCCTTCGATCCGGTCGGATTCGAACCGACGTCTTCTTGCATACCGTGCCAGACGCTATACCAACTAAGCCACGGAACGAACCAACGGACCTCACGAATTTTTCTATGTGCTTGTGTCGTGTCTTTGTGCTTGGTCTTTCAACGACTTTTTAGTCGTAGCGCCATCTATGAGAAATCTACTACAGATTTATCGCCCAGTTAATACCTTTACAGCTACCAGTCCTGGCGAGAGATGTCGCTATTCACTGTATTAATTAAATTTTTATTGAATTGATATTCAATTATTTTTTGTGAAATTACTCCACTAGTTTGTTATAATTATTAATACAAAGTACGAACACTCAGAAAAAATTCCTTCGATCCGGTCGGATTCGAACCGACGTCTTCTTGCATACCGTGCCAGACGCTATACCAACTAAGCCACGGAACGAACCAACGGACCTCACGAATTTTTCTATGTGCTTGTGTCGTGTCTTTGTACTTGGTCTTTCAACGACTTTTTAGTCGTAGCGCCATCTATGAGAAATCTATTACAGATTTATCACCCAGTTAGTTATAATTGAATATCAATTCAATAAAAATTTAATTAACGTATCACTGTTATAAACATCATTCCATTATCATATTTTATTAGAAGTAATTCAATTGACTCTAAAAATAAAAATAAAAATAAAAATAAAAGATATAGGAGCGCAAGATCCGCCATATTTGACACTAGTAATAAGATGTTGTGAACTTGTGATCGAGAAGGAAATATTAGCGTAGATGTTTTTATTGTGCTTTGAAGTGTAATTTACTAATATATTAACAAAACTACGAGTCATGTTGTTCCTGAATGTTCATGAATCTGTTAGCTGCACGTATCACCTGTTTTGTTCATGAATCTGTTAGCTGCACGGGCGCCGAACGAGTTACGGGAGAAGCGCGGGGAGGGGTCCCTAGCTAACACAATATAACAAGACGCGACCACAAATTAGAAATATATATAGGACGCCACTCGCTCATTTGAAGGCCTAATCTAATTAGGACTAGTGAATTACAATACGCTATAATGTGCAGTTTTATATACCATTATGTAAGTATAACAATTCAATAATTCCGCTTTTGACTTTTACAAATTACTACTAATTGTATAATGATTAATGAATTACTTGTAATATAACATTAAACTTATATTAATTAAATTGTGTAATATTTAAAAAAAAAAAAGAGAGAGAAAAAAAATAAATAAAATAGATTGTGCTTGATAAACAGGCAGATAATTATTAACTAACATTTACAGGGAAAACGGACACAAGATTAATGTCGCAAAGGTGAATGTTTCGCCTGCTCCATGCCGCAACCACAGCAATGTTTGCGATAACAGCTGCCGCACACCGACGCCATAAGCCGAAACCAGTGCTGTAAGTGTAAAAGTGAATTTAGAGTGTACTTTTTTGTTTATGTAAAAGATACTTTTTGCAATTGATTTTAAACGTGTGCAAATAATAAAAATTTAATAGTATCTTTTCGGTCACCGCTCCTGATTCTCTTAATTGTCGCTTAATGCGTGCCCTGACACATTTCACCCACAAATCCATCCACACTCTCTCTATCTCCCACATACCAACACACACGCACATTCTACCCCAACACACACACACACACACATTTAAACACACACACACACACACCCATACTCACATTTACCCATGCACACAGCTAACCTTTTGCATTAACTATTTTTTGGTTTGTGCTCATTTCTTGACAAATTTTCCATGTTTTTAATATTTAAGTTATTTTTATTTCTAAATTTTCCAAATTGTTTAAGTAATTTGTTGTGCGAATTTGGTCACCAATTATAATTGGCTAAAGTTCATGTTACCATTGGGGTTAGGCGCTGCATGCTGAGATACAGGTTTAATCCTAGTTCGGCTGCAGAGGCTTACATAATTTGAAATGTACAATTTTCTTAGCCTTATTTTATAATTTATAATTAATTATTTTGTATGTCTGTACATTGTTTAAAGTAAATAAACATTATTATTATTACTCAAACGCCATTGGTTTTGTTTATTATAATATTGAATAAATAATGAAAATGAAAAAAAAAAAAAAAATAAATAAAAAGCGCGCGACCTCTAACAAATATACTCGTAGGTAAGAATGCGGCGTTCGCCAGAAGGGGGTTAGCTTCTTCTAGTCAAAGGCCTTCAAAAAGTCCAGGAAACATGCAAATGCAGGTAATTTCCTGTCTGAGTAGTACCGGACAGTGTGCTTGAGACAAAAAACTGCTGCCTCTATGCAGAGTCCGGATCTAAAACCAACATTAAGTTATGACATATGACTATGCAGTTTTTCGTCCAGCACACCGTCCAGCACCTTTGCTAAAACTGTTGCCAATTAAATGGGCCGGTGACCTATGTCAAATGCGTCCCCGGTTCGATTCTTTATAATTGGCACCACTACAGTTTTCAATATATCTTCAGGCAGGCACGTGTAGCCGACACAGAAGTTGAAGAGCATGGCCAATAGTCTAGGCAAATGTACACCAAGATGTTGTGGATGTTCGACAGTAAGGCAATCGTGTCCCTCAACACCCGTGCCACCCGCCTAGCCATGACACTCACAGGAGGAGCCAAAGTCGGCCAAACTTTAATTTTAAAATATTGCTTAAAAAGTTGATAAATCTGGTCTCGCTCACTGACATCTTCCACGCTCACAGGTTTCGCGTCTTGGAACTTAACTTGTTAGTCTGTTTCCAGAATTTACTAGTCTTTATTAGAGTAGTGAGTCGCTAAAATTACCATTTTAATTTTGTCAACGTTTGTTTGATACCATTTCAATTTTTGTTTAAAAATTCTTCTGGCTTCTGTCATGATATTGTACACAGGCCCTCTGTTAGGTTTTCTATATATAAGACCCAGTTTTGAAAACCAAGTTGAGCCTGTCTTACATATTTATTCTAAACTATCACATTTCGCTTTCTTTTCAATTTCATCTCATTATTGCCATAACAAAAAGTCGCTGCTCTTCTTAAAATGATAATATGAGCGTAAAACTTATCAATAACTAACCTATGTACTACATTATCGCAATGTTGGCCGTTACAATTTCTAAAATCAATCGGAAAGTCAACAGTTCTAATATAATCATTATAATACTGTTTCAATCCCCCCAAATAATTTTATTACATTTCTAATTCTCTTTCTTTAATTCTTTATGTTAATGTTTTACGGAAAAATCGATACAAAAACTGCGTTGCGAATAGGAGGCGGTAGATCGTTCCAAATCTTCGCTGCGGTGTAGGTACTTCTTCTCCCCTGAAATGCTGCCGTTCTAAGGCACAGGACAATTAATCGACTGAGACAAGATCGCGACGACCATAGATATCTATATCTATGGCGAAGACCATTTTAAATTTTCAAACAGGTATAGCGGTTTTCCAAGTTTTATTTCCACCATTGTTTATGTTATGTTTACACCAAGAAGGAGAGTGGCAAAATGTATATATATCGACGTGAAGACATATTCAATAATTTTTCTCAATCTAAATAAAGTGGTACATGATTTCTAGGCGGTATAGTTTAACAAAATGTTAGTCACGCATTTTGAACCTTCAGTATTAAAGCTTTAGTTTTGCTTAGAAGACCAGGACCACAGACTGTATCCGCATAAGTAAATTTGGACAAAACTAAAGATTCTACCAGTTTTAATCGCAAATCTGTACGAATATATTTTCGCATCTTATATAATTCTTTAGATGATAAAAGCAATTACGCTAAGTCCGTATGTCAACTTCTGCTATATGTGATTCAAAATGAAGCCCGGAATCCATTATGAGTCCCAGATTGCGCGGTTCCCGTACACTTGCTATTGCCTCTCCGTATAAGAGATTCTTTGTGGTTCCCTCTGAACCATTTTAGAAACTTGTTGTCTTGAGCCTAATACAGTGTCCTAGAACCTGTTGGAATGGTAGATCCTCTCTAGGTCTTCATTAATCCTTTTCACGTTGCATCAATACCACTTGGTTTGCACGACAGGTGTAATTGTAGGTCATCTGCGTACAAGTGATATCGGCAGTTCTCTATGAAGCCAATGATATTTACAAAGTCGTGTGGCATCCGTCATACAAATTATATACCATAAGCAAAACCAGGGCACAACACTACTACGCAAATTGAAATCTGTGCGTCGCGCTGCACTCCGCCGCGCAACCGGTTCCTTGAACGCTGCACGACCCACCAGTCGTGTTACTGGCTATGACGACGAATGAAAAAATAATAACTCACTTATCTTTGTCATTTTTGCTTTGTTTTTACTTCTTGTGCATTTTTAAGTATCTATCGCATAAAAAAACCTCTTCCATTCTTTTGCAATATTGCGTAGTGTATCTCTCTTCTGCGTCGTGTACTGTGACTGTTGTATTTCAAAAATCAAACTCTTTGTATCGAGTTCTTAGGTTTTCGCGATTATTACACATGAGATGAAACTATTTTTCCGGATTTTAATCGTGTATATTTGTCTTTTCAAACAAACCGACGTTTCGGGCCGTTTACAGGTCCCATGGTCACGGTTGACTGAGGTGGTACAGTCATCAACCAGTTATGTCTAATATTAATGCAAACCACCCTATTTTTTTCACTATAGTTACAAAAGTTATTAATTAAATACCTTATTTTTAATTTTACAAAGAAACATTCCAGTTTACGCTACATTACGTTTTTACAAATTATTTAATTGAATGATTTTTTATTAAATTCAACTTATTTATTATTATTTAATAATAGAAAATAAAATAAATTAAAACATATTAATTAGTACTGCAGTCTTATGTCTGTTTGGGATTTTTCATTAGAGGAAATACAGGATCCCAAACTGGTGGTACGGAGAAACCATCTTCCTTGTTCAAATTAGTACGTTTTTTAATTTCAATAGCCTCTCGCAGCATCCTGGGTAAATAACGGACTTCTTTTGCAAGGGCTTGGGGTTTGTCAAACTTCATTGAATGTGTAGGTTTAACCATGACATGCTCGCAGACTGCAGACTTGTTTACCCGACGGTGTTTGACATCAGCTATATGTTCTTTGACGCGGGTACAAATACTTCATTTCGTTAGTCCAATATAAAAGAGACCGCACTCACAATCAAGCTTGTAAACTCCTGCATTGTGTAAGGGGATGTTACATTTCACAGGTCTCATGAACTGAGAAATCTTCCTCAGGGAATAGATCTTGACAGATGCACGCCTGAGGACTCTTCCGATCTTGTCTGTAACACCTCTCACGTAAGGTAAAATGGCAGGTCGTCGCTCGACTGATGGTGGTTTCACACGGGGCCTGCGGCATTGGCGTGGAATCTTCAACTTACTCGTATGAAGGACTTGCTTTGTATGCTGAAGTTCCAACAAACAAACAAACAACAGAAACAAAGATTTGTCACGGTAGCTAACTGGCTAAGATGGTGATGGGAATTACCATTGAGGTACCTATCTGTATGGGTTTTCTTTCGAAATACAGTACGACATAAGGTGTTATTAGGATTTCTTTTAATTAAAACATCTGAAAAAGCTAAAGTGCCACAATTATCTTGTTCCATAGTAAATTGGGTCTTAGTACTAATTAAGATGGTATAAGAAAGAAGGTATGCTATCTTTAGGTAATATTGTGAAAGTATCATCAACGTACCGTTTGAAAATCTTCGGCTTAGCTGGGGCCATGGGTAAAACTCGCTCCTCGAAGTCTTCCATGAAAATATCGGCAACAACGGGAGATACCGGAGAGCCCATCGCTATACCGTCGATTTATTGGTAGAATTCATTATTCCACAATAGATAACCTGATGTTAGGCAGTATTCTAATAATTCTGCATATTGGACATATTATGTTCCCTTAGCTTTCTACGTACAATTTAAATGCAGTTTTAGGTTGGCGAACAGTGACTGAACATCAAAACTGACCATGGTGTCATCATCAGTTAACCGTAGATCTTTGATTACACTGATGAAATGTTATGAATCTAATGGTACGACCTATTTGTGTTATGCCAATACGAACATTATTATTTGCACACCCCTTTCGGTTCTACAGTAGTAGTAGTTATGAAGAGCAGAGGTCCCAAAATAGAGCCCTGGTGGACACCACTGTTAACATGGGCAAGAGACGACAAAGACACAGCATCACTCCTACCAATCTGACCATACTGAGAACGATTAGTTAAGTAGCTATCAAACCATTTAACCGTAAGATCATCAAAACCGTGATAGACTAATTTGGATAAAAGGAGTTAAATATTTATGGTATCGAACGCTCGTTCCCATTTCAGCGTCTCGAGCCTTTAAGATATGACTTGTGACAGCTGTGTTTTTTCTAAATCCTGTCTGGGCCTGCGGAAGAATGCTGTTCGAGTCCAAAAACTCTGTGAGTTGTTGGCACCTTACTCTTTTTCTTCACTTTACTCTCTCTCCAGCACCTTAGGCATACAAGAATACTAATAGGACGAAGATTCTTGAAAGTAAGCGGATTCGTATTTTTGGGAAGAGGTTGCACGATGGCTGTTTTCCAAAAACTGGGAAGAATGATGAACGCATTGAGGTATAAACTATTGTTATTAACGCTTCAAGGGCATATGGTAGCGTTAACACAAGCATGTCCAAGGACCAGATTAGATCCGGGAGATCATATCCCCATCAGATCAGACCCTCAGGGCATTGGATCGGAGACTGTAAACAATACGCAAGATAGATGCTGGATCAACAGTTTTGAGAGTGAAGGTAAAACTTCCGACGCTGCGAGACTTAATATGTACTATTATCGAAACATTCATATTTTTTGGCTTTTTATTTTTACATTTCGGACATTTCCAGTTTTCTGTCTCTTGTCATAGTGTCATATAAAGTCGAATTGTTTGAAACACAGACTGCATTTCAAAAGTTGGAGGAGGTGGAGTTTCTGATTTTTTGCAAACATACACACGCACGCACGCCCACACGCACACGCACACGCACACGCACACGCACACTTTTCTTTGAAAAACAAATATTCGTGATTTAAATCCGGAAAAATAGTTCCGTTTCAAAAACTTTCAACAATTTAGTACAAATGAAAGTGTTGCAAAGCTTTTCGTGCAGTCGTTTGTATGCAATTCAAAATAATAAAAATATGTTAGCCAATAAACACCCCTACAACGCGGACACTCACACCACTTTGATCGCTTTTACCCTTTTCAATTTATCAGGATAAAGAAAAAACCACATAGGTGACTACTAATTTCTAGTTCTATAAACAACATGAGAAGATTTTGCAAGTAAACAAGACTCGCAAGTCGTCTCTGGCTTGCTTATCTGTGACAGGATTTTTCTCTTTGGAATGGTTACTATTAAGAAGTAGGTACATCTACATTTTCAAATAGGGGAAAAGCCAAGTCTGATTTTGTTACACCAACTACTTATCGGAATAAAAAGTTACGCAAACGCGAAATAAATCTTTGTACTATATGCGATTACGACAGGGCAAAGGCAAGTTCCATTTCACTACAAGGTAAAAAGTAAATTCAAACGAATTGATTTCAGAAGATGTTCATACCAAATAAAATATCATTTTTGATAATCAGCCTTCTGCTAATATTTGGGCTATTTCAACAAGTTTGCGTCTTTGAACTTCCTTCGGACGAGTAATATTCGTGGAGACACGATTTTATTTTATTCTCTTCACTATTTCCCAAATATGTGAGTAAGTTCTTAAAGGATTTATTTTCGTTACAGGTCAATAGAAGCAAAGGGAATAGCGAAGGACACAATGGATGTTTTCTTTCAAATGTTTCTGAGCTGTATCGCTACCGAAATGCCTAGACAACGGTGAGTTAACTATTTATTTAAGTGCCTATACGGGGTTGACAGATGCATGTGATTTTCAAGTCGCGTATGAAGTTACGTGTTTTACCATGCGCAAAAGAACGAGGATTTTAGATTTCAATGTTATTCTACTAATTAATCATACTTAACGTCGAAACGCAAACAAATAAAAATATGTCTTTCTTTGCTTTTAAACCAACCGAAAGAGATAAATTGAATAACAAGATTCGACATAGACAACTTACCTAAAAATTAATTAAGTATTATTTCACAATGTAAATTAAGTAAATCAAACGATTTCATATTGATTTTTGTTAAAAACCACAATTTTTATTGCGGTTCGAGAATTTTTGAGTTTTGGCACTAGAATCCAGATGTAACTATCTGGTAACCTTGTATCCAAGTACCTATTAAGATTATTGTTAGGTTTTCAGCGTAACAATAGTAAACAAATTATTTTTGCTGTACATCACTTGTAGACGTCGTAAATATCTTTGTCAGTAGGTTGCCCATGGCCACTACTTGTGAAGCTTTATACCATACCTAGGTATTTTCAACAACCCATGTTCGTTTACCTATTTCGATTATGCTTCAGCGCAATTGGTTTTAAAGCGTTACACATACAATAGAGTACCTACGCCCTATCTATGCGTATCTCCTGATTGCGGCAACAGACCGCGTATTGAGAACGCTCTCAAAATATTATTGTTCACCTCAGGCTAGTAGCGGGCAGGATTACCTACGGCTATGTAGTCACCTGTAGTCTTTGAACTTTAGTGGGTACCAGCGGCGAAAGTAATCCGGGTTCTATCAGTTTCCTCACCCCATATGCAACACCGTATGTTCTTTTATTCCATGAAAAAACGCAAAATACCAAGCGAGAACTACCAAGTAAGGACAGAGTTACAAAAATTTGTAAAATGTATTATTATACTCGGTGCATGCAAGAAAGGTTGATAGTGACGTACACAGGTGAAGTGTCTATTGATTGAGCCCAAATTGCAAAGAAAATGACATTTTAAGTAGATTATATTGTTTGTTTGTTTTGAAAGTGGCCGTTGATGTGGTTAACTAGGTGTAGGTCAATGACTAGTAGTGACATAATAAAGACAAAAGCAAAATTGTAATTTATCACAATTCTACATTATTTAAATTGAAACTTGTACAGATCAAGCCTCTTGAGGTTTATAAAACGCATTACTGATCTACCTACAGCGTACTATTTATATGAGCAATCTATCCATATAACATAATAACTATGTGAAATATTGCTGTTTTTCTAGTTATTTTTACGTCCCAGTGTGGTTACCTATTAAATCTAAACTAAGAATGTGTAGTATTGCTGCATCAGCTGTGAACTTCTTATTTTGGATTGCCTTATTCAAATATCCATTGATCGCCACTTGCAGGAAGAATTCAGAGCAGTTTGGTTCTCTTCTGAAATGATTTTGCAAACTTTTTCAGTGCGGGTTCCCAAATAAGTTAAATTTTTCAGGTTCCTCACGGATAATTTGAAAGCGTTTTTGTATTCACCGCAACGCACGACCGTAGGGCTAGCGCACAAGTATACCAGCAACCGTAAGTTCTTCGCCAATCTGATCTACCACAAGGCCTTCAAGACCATGCTTCAGGAAGACGAGAACAAGTTGCAGCGCGATGTCATAAAGAAGTATGAGTACTGTGACAACGTCATCATGGACCAGAATATTCTCAAGAATTTCTACGACCGCGAGGTCGACCAGTCGAAGCTCAGGAAGTGAAGATAATCAACGCTGTACACGCTTTAGCGGCTTGATCAAAGTATATAGCTGTCTGCATATTATTTCATATATAATAGTACTGTAGGGGAATTGAGCAATAAATTTATTATTTTAACTAACTCCGCATAAAGAGCCAATGATGCACGCGTAATTACAATTAGATAAGGTATATATTATTCAACAATTTCTAAATAAATTGTTTTATATATCCAACATTTTCACGAGTATGATTACGAAACTGAGCTATTACAGAAACAAAAACTGCGACGTGGTTGTGGGCTACGCTGACGCCGACTGGGATGGCGATTCAGAGACAGGAAATCGACTAGCCTTTATTGTTTCCGCGTTTACGGGTCCTTGTTGTAGCTTGGTATTCGAAAAAGCAGTCCACTTAAGTACACACACTTCGCAAGTGTAACCTCTTTCTTGTAGTAACAGTAAGTCGCTCTCGCGTTTGCCATCAGTGATGTCTGCTGACTTCGATCTTTGCTTATAGAAGGAAGTGTATATTTCAGATACAATAGTTGTAACCATGTTCGAGGGTAACCAATTAGCTATTGTCATTTGTAATTGTGCCTCCGGTTTTTCTCTCTTCATGCGCGGTCAGCCTTGCGTTGCCGGTCACCATCCTCTTTCGACGCCCTTTGAGTGAATACACTTTTTTTTGTGAACATGTATTAAAAAACGATATACGTGTATTACTTAGCCAATTCCTATATTAAATTAATCGAGGTAGTTTATATCAATATGACTTTTATTTATATTTACACCATATAAATATTTATTTAAATCATCATTAAGAAAGTGACGAAAATGTCACTTCCATGTCGTGTGCGAAGTCCATTTACAATGATACAAATTAATATTAAATATATTTATCTGTAATAAATAAACTAATCTATATTATTTTACGATAATACATAGAATAAAATTTCTAAAAAAAATACAAAATAATTACAACATAAATACAATAATGGATCCAAAATATTTCATTACGTTTGTGCATGAAAAAATTGTCACCTCCATGCATAAACTTATTGAACGCAGCGATAGTAGATTAAATCAGTCAACTCAGTTTCTGAACAATTACAGACAACAAACCTTGGAGTATGGAAAAAATCAACAAACACAATGCCATCTTGAAAGTTTTTGACAGTTTGCCACTACCGGGATTAGCGAAAAAATCCTAAATCTATGACCGGGATAATAGTTTTGGCACACTGACTTATAAGGTAGGATTTTTCGAAAATTAGCATGCTATTTTGGTCACTTTTGTGGATTACGTATCAGATTATTTTATTCAATTAAGATCTATCAGATATCGTAAAATTATGAGCTATTATAACCGTCATCCAGGCATTTCATCGTAGTTTATAAATCGAAATTGAGGTCACGAAAAAACTGTATTTAAGTTTAAAATGTCACCTCCTCGGTCGTCATCCACGTGGATTACCGTTATTCATAGAGGTGACACAATTTCCATGGAAGTGACAATATAATAATGAACGCTCTTTATTAACTTAAATAATATCAACGTAATTAATTTGATTTAAATATACTTTAGTAGGGAATTCTGGAGCCCACGAAAAAATGTTAGGAAAATATAGACGTAAGAAAAAGAATGCGAAAGGAACAATCGGGAAAAAATATAAAAGTACGTTGCAGAAAGCGAAAAGGAGAAAAGAATAAATATTATCTATTGATCACATGTCAGAAAGAAAACAGAGAAAGGAATGGCGTAAGTGCATTGTAGGTCAATGCGTAAGAGGCTAAAAATTTGCTTAGATAATAGAACATGCAGGAAAAGACTTTTAACCTGTATGCGTGATGATGCACCGCCTTCAAGCGACATCGAAAATCAACCGATGAACCGATTGCGCATCTTCCTTCTATTTCAAACATCTCCTTCTGTCTCAAGCATACGTATCTTGTTCTGTTTCAAGCTGTCTTTCATCATCCAGATACTCATCTCCATCATTATTGGCAAATTACTTGCTTAACTCCTCAAGTGTTCAAAAAGGCTGGAGATATTATGTTAAATAGCTGCTAAGTTTTGTGTTATTGCTTATTATCAATTATTTGTTGAGGTATGTGTGTTTAAAAATGGTTTAAGAGATAAGTTATTTAAACAAGCTTCCCTTTTGTATTTGAAACGTACTTTTATTGAGGGGGCTGTTGTAGTTTCAATAAAAGTAGTTTGGTTTCTAAATAGACAATAGTGTCATAAGAAAAGTAATATCTTCCTGTCGCTCTTACACAGTTTCAAATGTAATATTTTAAATATTTACATAAAATTCTATTTAAATATATTTCATTGTACGAACCGCCAGTACATCAAGCTACACATTGACGTATCTTGTTCCGTTGCACTGGAGGCGATTTTCGAACAAAAATGTGTAGTCTGATATGCCGTTGTCCGTACATACATACAATGTATAATCGGGAGAGCAGACAGAAAGCATTTTTTTAAACACAATTGACAACCAGTTTCGTTAAACAAATGGTTACAAATCAACAATTTCCACTGCATTAATTCTAGTTTCGTGCTTCTTTTGCCGGACAACGATGTATATGTATGCTGCCAGCGAGCCATTTTAGACAGTGCCCGGCTGCCCATAAAGGCAATTTGGCTCATATTTATTAATTACACTATGTATAATGAAACTAATCAAACATTTTTTTTAAAGTTAAAGATAAAAATTGTTTAATTTAAAACTTTATTTTCTAAAAACGTAATAAAAACAATAAAAATTTTAATAACATGAAGTTTATTGAAAATCGCAGTGATATAATTTTTTTTTTTGTGAAATTACTCCACTACTTTGTTATAATTAGTAATACAAAGACCGAACACTGAGAAACATTGCCGCGACTGGATTCGAAGCAGTGTCGGCCTGGTATGCTGAATACGCTGGTTCAAATCCAGCCGGATCGAAAGATATTGTTCTTAGGGTCGTATTCTAGAACTCTACTCAATGCTCAAGTCAGGATTGCACTGGAAACACAAGCACTGGAAATACGCCCCTAATGGCAGGGACTTGAGTATTATTTCCAGTGCTTTAAACCATACTCAAATCCTGACTTGATTTGACTGACGACACTTAAGGGTCGTATTCCAGACCTCTACTCATTGCTCAAGTCAGGATTTGAGTATGATTTCAAGCACTGGAAATACGACCCTAAACGCCAGGACTTGAGTATAATTTTTAGTGCTTTAAATCATATTCAAGTCCTGATTTGAGCATTGAGTAGAGTTCTGGAATACGACCCTCTAACTCATTATTTTTTTCCTCAGTTCTCAGCATAGATTTAGAATAATAAGGGACAATAATACACATATCAAAAGTGTCTAGGGATCAAGTACGTTTAAGAGTATTGCTGCAATTAGGGTTAATTATATTAACTTTTTTGTATCGCTATTGATACTTTTTAGTGAGTTTTAACATTTAAATAAGGAATATTGTTTAAAATTCGATAATAAGAAGAAAATCGATTGTCAATGTGGTTTTGTATAAAAATGAGTTATAGCGTTTTGACAAAATCATTACAATATCTGCATCGAAACCGAAACAATTTACATTATTATGGAGAGACGACATCATTTAACCCGAGAAGTGATGATGCGAGCCGTCGGAATGTTGGAAGCTGGTTCCAGGCAACGTGCTGTGGCTTTCACTCTTAACACTACACAGAGCGTCATAAGTCGCCTCTGGACGCGCTATCGCATGACGGGCAGCGTGGCCGAGCGACATGGAGGACGATCTCGCATCACGACTCGCAGACAGGACCGGTATATCCAAAATACTGCTCGACGGAATCGTACCATGTCCGCCATGATGTTGGTTACGAGGCTCCACAGCTCCTCAGGCTTGCTAATAAGCGATCAAACAATCCGAAATCGTTTACGTGAAGTGGGTCTGCGATCCCGAAGGCCGCTCAGAGTTCCACCTATTGCACCCTGCAATCGCAGGACCCGTTTACGATGGGCTCGCGAACACAGAAACTGGGAGGAAGAAGACTGGCGCTATGTGTGCTTTTCGGATGAATCCCGCTTCGGTATGAGACCGGATACAAGACGTACTCGAGTTTGGAGAACATCTGGACGTCATGAACGTTTGAGATATTGTCAGGAAGTTCATTCATATGGTGGGGGAACAATAATGATATGGGCCGGTATTTGGATCGGCGGAAGAACCGATCTCATTTGGATCAGGGGTAACCTCAATGCTCAAGTTTACGCAGAGAGGATTGTTTCAGATGTTATCATCCCTTTGCGAGGCCAGTTGGGTGATTCATTTCAACTAATGCATGACAACCCACGTCCACACACGGCTAGAGTCGTAACACGCATTCTTGCCGAAGCTCGTATCAACGTTCTGCCGTGGCCTGCTCAATCGCCAGACCTCAATCCAATTGAGCACGCATGGGATATGCTTCAAAGAAGAGCTGTGCCGAGTATGCATACCGTACATACTCTACAACAATATTTTGACTTGTTACAAAACACATGGGCGACCAAAGTGATTTTGATGAACTCATCTTAAGCATGCCAAATCGCTGTAATTGTGTGATTCGTGTTAATGGTGGAAATACAGATTATTAATTTTTCTTATCTTTACAATAAAAATGAGCAAAATCATCATTTTCGCCATTTTTTTGTCATTTAATTGACGCCGTTAATTTGAGTTTTTTCCCACAATTTGCAAAAACATCAATTTTAGTTTATTTTAATTAAATATAGGGGTAAGCGGTTAAATAAAACATAAGCATTAAAGTAAGAAGTCGTCCTGGAAGACTGGATTTGGTAAATATTGCTTAAATAATTTTTATTTCAAAAATATTCACTTGATCCCTAGACACTTTTGATGTGTGTAGTTCTGAGCATAGAATAGGACGGGCATAGATAATACACTATGTTCTGAGAGTATAGTGGTGTTCGGTGGTAGACGTGCACAAAACAGTAGGTACCTCGAAAAGTAATGTGATATCACATTACATTTCCGTAAAAGTGATATTACACTGTAATATCACTATTACCCACAATATCACACAGTCTAACACAACCAAAAAAATACATACCGACGAATTGAGAACCTCCTCCTTTTTTTAAGTCGGTTAAAAACGCGATGCGTCTTAAAACAACCTACAAAATGCATTTCTAGAAATCGAGTTCTTAGGTTTTCGCGATTGTTATACATAGGAATGAAACTATTTTCCGGATTTAAATCGCGTATATTTGTTTTTTCAAACAAACCGACGTTTCGGGCCCTTTACAGCATGCATTTCTAGAACTTAAACTTACATTATAAACAAGATCTACTTACATACTACTCGAGAGAATCAAACAAAAATTACGAAATATTAAGAACCGTCTGGGAACCTACACTCATCCTGGTTAAATTTTACATTATAAATTACCACGTAAAAAATCAAAATATTGTACTTAATCAAGCAATAATTAACAAATTATGTAATTTCATTTTAAATGTCTACTGTTTATTATATCTAGTAAGTTGTAAAATAACAAATGCACTCCAAAAATCAGACGTTAATTATAAGTTGTTACATAATTCACTTATACTAAATCTCTTATAATGTGCTCTTAGATCGCCAAATTTCGTAAAATTTCCAGTGATGATATAACAATATATAAGCTATTCATTGATATCACCTTCAACTTTTTACATCTTGACCCAAGATTGTATGAAAGCGTATCGATCTCCTTCTAGATTACCAAGTAAAAAAATCAAAATATTGTAACATTGTATTTAATCAAGCATTGATTAACAAATTATGCAATTTCAGTTTAAATTGCCTACGGTTTATTTCGATTACACCATCTAGTAAGTTATTAAATAATTTGGATGCTAATACAAACATCGTTCTATTGCATTATTCCAAATTAGACGCATTAACATTGCATTACGCGTAATATTACTGTCACATGAGATGTCTCATAAGCAAACATTATTCCGTGATGTTACCGTTACAACATCACTCGTATTACTTAGACTATAAACATCACTCCGTAATATCACCATCACTCATTACACTAAGCATCACGCATCATAAACATCACTCTGTAACATTAGCATCACGCGTACTGTTTCAGGTAATACATCACGCGGGTAATGCATCACGCGCGTATTGTTTCCGAGTGATGCATCACGCGGGTAATCACACATTACATTGCATCATGCCGCGTACTGTTTCGCGTAATGGGTGTTTAGCGCTACGTAACACTACGGCACGGTTAGCAATGTCCCATCAAGTAGTGCGTCGAAAATTTGCTGTGTGGCGCTATTAATATAGATATTTACTATAGTTAGTTAATATTGGGAAACGCCCAGAGTGCCCCGACATGGTCTATGTAATGGATAATGTTATAAGTAATGCATATTTATCCAAAGTGATGCGTGATATCACAGTACTCTGTCGCGTTATATCACCTTTGTAATATTACTCACATTACTTACACATGTCTATTTGGCGGTTCTGAGTGTAATTAATTGGTCTCAATTGAATTGTCATGTCAAACTAAAATGGATATGCGTCGTTGTGCATCCGTTCCTCCAACTCCTAACAACGATATTGCTGATCTTCGAGAAGCCTTAGTAAGGACCGTACTAATAACTCAATAATACCTTATTTCAAATTATTTCGTCACCCTATCTGTAGAGATAAATTATGATAGTGATACATAAATATCCCGACCTCAGCGATAATGTTTGTTATTAGGTTATACTTTGATATTTTGTAGAGATGAGTTCGATCTCCGAGGAGTTATTGTACGTGGTGTACACGAAGGACGGTCCCGTGCGAGGCTACCTAGATAAGAGAGATGGGAAGACCTATTACAACTTCAAAAGCATACCTTACGCTAAGCCACCGACTGGGTGTTTACGATTTATGGTGAGTAAGTAACTTGAAGGTATGCCGAGTGTTTGTTGCATTGTAGTGTAATAATTGTGTCTACATAAAGTAATGTTAATGAATTCATCATGAGAAATACCTAAGTTTTAATTGACCATAGGCAAATATTGTGGTAAGAAGTAGCTTTATCAATATTATTGTTAAAAAACTATCAAATTTTTATAAGCCAGTCTGTTTGTAGCCACCATCTCCTATCAAGCCATGGACTGAGGTGATGGACTGCACCAAAGTTGCACCACTGCCAATATGCTTCTCATTACACCACAAAATTGTAGGTTCAGAAGACTGCCTTTATTTGGAGGTGTCAACTACCACTATGAAGCCAAATAAGCCCTTGCCTGTCATGTTCTGGATAGGTGGATGTGGCTTTGCTTGGTACATGGACAATATTTGTGACCCCACACTATTGATTGATCAAAATATAATATTTGTGCGATGTGGCTTCCGATTGGGGCCTTTTGGATTTTTGTCCATTAATGATTTCACAGCCCCAGGAAATAATGGACTGAAGGACATAGTAATGGCCCTAAAGTGGGTCCAGAGAAATATCAGTGCATTTGGAGGAGACCCACAGAATGTGACATTGTTTGGTAATAGCTCTGGAGGGGCATGCATCCATCTCTTGATGCTGTCTCCCATGGCCTCTGGCTTGTTTCATAAAGCAATACTTCAAAGTGCCAGCGCTTTAAACAATTGGTCTCTTGCTAAAAACCCTTATCAGCCCGTGATGGAGCTAGCTAAACAACTAGGAGTAACAAAAACATGCAAAATGGAAATAATTGAAGAACTGAAATCTATTCCTGCATTAAAGCTAATGAAAGCCGTATGTGCCTTGGAACATAGATTGCACGAATTGGACAAAAATGACACTTTTGATTCTATATTTAAGCCATGCATTGAGGAAGAGTTTGAAGGTCAACCAGCATTTCTCACCAAGAGCCCTCCAGTTATTATTAAGTCTGGGAATTTTAATAAAGTGCCTTTTATAATAGGTAGCAATAACATTGAAGGATCTGTGATGCAGTACATGAAGAGTGACTTCTACACCAATTTTGAAAAGTATAATGAGAATTTGAGTCTGATTGTACCTCGGCCATTGGTAGGAGACACAACAGTGTCAAAAGCCATTGGGCAGCAGCTTTTGAGGTTTTACTTGGACGGTGAGGAATCATTGACTGAAGATACCAGAAACCAATACTTACAGCTGCTCAGTGATTATTATTTTCTTTATTATGTGAACAAGACTGTTAAACTTCATAGTCAGTTTGCACCCGAGTGTCCCATTTATTACTACATCATAAACTATGCTGGGGAATGGTCTGTACCAGACCACTTGGAGTTTTTAAATTCTCTTGGGCATTGTGCTGACTATCCATTTGTGTTTCGTCTTAATTGCCACAATCACTCAAACTCTTCGGTCATTAAAGGCAGTCGGGACTCGATTATAATGAGAAGCAGAGTTGTGAAAATGTGGACTAATTTTGCTAAATATAGGTATGAAACAAATGCATCTAAAATAATTTCTGTAACAGTGGTAGTGGCTCTAATGTTTGTATTTAATTTTTATAATTTCAGTGATCCTACACCTGATGAGGAGGACCCATTACTGCAAATTAAATGGGACCCAGTTGAGCACAAAGACAAACTAAATTACCTTAGCATTGGATCGGAACTCACCAAAGGCAGGAACCCTTTTCATGACAGAATGGCTTTTTGGGAGAAACTGCATGAAGAACACACATTCCTCAGAGTACTTGTTTACTTTAATGATATAGGAGTGTCGTGGTAATAACAAGAAATATATTCACTACATCACCACATATTGCTACGGGTTTACTTTGCCTAGAACGCAAAGTGGTGGACCACCTAACCATTGTTCAGGGTACTAAGATATCAGGGTTTTTAATGATGGTTCATATTCACTGGTAGATAGGGTTTGGTATGCGACATTGTTTTATTCTTATGTTGAAGTGGAAAACGCCATTTACTGTTGACCAATGTCACTTAGCCCCCCCCCCCCATTATTATATACAAGTAGTACTAGTGGTGGGTGACAGATACCTACTCTGTTTAGATCTATTTCTGAATATATTATATGAATATTTGTATACATGTAAGCTATTTTTTGGATTAGTCCATTAGTATACCTATTTTTATTTAATAATATATGTACACTCGGCCACACATTATTTGTTTTATATACATTGCGTCAAAATTGTAGTCCTTAGCGCAAACGCTATTATAACTTTTTATTGATTGAAGAAATAAAACGTGTGTTCTGTGATGTTTAGACAGGCTTCAGTGTACTAATGAACAAGTTTAGTTATCATTGTTATGAAGGTTTGCTCGATTTTTATTCTTATTTACGGTTGTTATTTGTGCACCTTTAATAAAACTTTTGTTTCTATTTTTATGTCTTTATATTTGGCTAAGTCAAACGCCAAAGACTTAAAAAGCACCGTTTGAGAAATATATTGACTCGAGAACAGAGCAGTCAATGCAAAGAAAAAACAATCCAACAGTGTTGGTACCAACATGTAATAAGGTTGAACAATAAAAATGTTACTTTAACATTTACAATATACAAGTTTGTAACAAATATCGACATGGAGGCCAACAAAATAAACTTTTTACTACAAAATAAATGAACCTATGAATACATAAATATCTACATGTTGCAAAAAATAAGAAAGCACATTCTTTGTCAATTTTTTCATCATACATAATATAAATTAATAAATTCTAAAACCTATACATGATGTTGGTGCAAAACATAATAAATAATTACACCACGGTGTAGTGGGCCCGGCGCGCCTGGCAGCCGCAGGCCGCGGCGCGCTCCCAGTGCGGTCCGCCTCTGAAAGCACGACGTCACGTCCTACATTCTCCTGCCGTCGCTGCACTTGGCCGCGCCTCGTAATGTGAACGACGAAAATGGTCTTGAGTTTGATATTTAGGCATTTTACACTGACGTTGACTAATACTTCAATCTGCGTGCCTTATTCCAGCGTGACCGTGGTAGAGTTTTTGAAATTTGACTAACCAGATAAAACGTCGCCATTTACTTGGCTCTAGACGCAAAAAACTAGATTTAGTCTGTCCGCCGCCGCCGTGCCGTTCTAAAGTTATAAGGGTGTTTTACTATCCACGCTGTAACAAGTTTATTCTGGCGGCATTTTTGAATCTCAAAAACTACAGCTTCTAGCTTCGATCTGATTACACCCAGAAAAAGTCGTGAATTAATCGGTTCTAGTAGATACAATCGATTTATTATTTCAAGCTTATACCTGTGTTAGTCTCGGAGTTCATATCGCCCATTTGCCAGAACAATGTGTTATTTATTATATATGTCAATGTATGAGAGATAACACGTTCTGGCAAGCAGGCGATATACAAATTTTGCATAATACACAGCATTTTTTTTATTTGAAGGTTTTAATAATTTTAGTTTTCTATACAAGCAAATTTGCAAAAAATATGCAGTTACTTTTCCATAATGATATTAGGATTAATCGATTGACATGATATTTATTGGTGTATGTATGTCGTGTTGGGCTCCTGGCTTACATGAGACGAACGAGACGCGACTTAATTGAATAAAGAACGACTACTAATATAATTTATAGCGCAAGTCATATTCTATTGCAAATTCTCTGCTCTGCCTCCGTGGCCCAACGGTTACCTTGCCGGACTGCCACGCAGAGGTCCTAGGCTCGATTCCCGGGCCGGGAGAAATATTTGTATGACCTACATTTTATTTCTCTCGTGAGTTTGGGTGTAATTTGTGTTTGTCTATGTGTCTGTCCATGGCACTCGCGACACAGGATTTCCCTAGTGCGGGGCTATGTTGAGTGTGTGCGTTATTAAATTGGTGTAACTGTTGAGCATTCACAGAGGTGTGTACACACAACCATGTAACCCTACATTGGATCGCAGGACATAGCGGCTCACATGGCAACGACGCCGCAGATAAATTGGCCAGACAAGGGTCGGGGAAAAAGTAGAAATAGGAAATACTGACTTTGAGACAGGCAAAATCACACAAACTAGATCTGATAGAGCTCTTGCGACTGGCTCTATTCCACAGGGTAGCGTTTTGGGATGCATTCTGTTTCTCATCTATATAAATAATCTCCCAAATATACTGGATGATCTATGTGTCCTCTTCGATGATGACATTTCTGTCACTAATCTAATCACTTGTTCTAATATTAGAAATCTAGAAATAAAACTAAATATAATATTAGATAAAATTGTAAACTGGCTAGGTATACTCAACTTGCAACTTAACCTCAACAAAACTAAAATTATCCAATTCAAACCCTATCAAAAATCAGCGTTACAAATATCGCATAAATATAGAAATACTAAAATAGAAACTGTAAATTCTGCTACATTGCTAGGAATAGATCTGGATACACATTTGAATTGGAAAGAAAATATACAAAAAATACTAAATAAACTATCTTCTTTTATTTATGCACTTCAACACCTCAAACGTGTAACGGTCGTTTTCAGATAACCTCCAAAAATGTGTCCCTTTCAATAACTTTTGTTATTACATGAATGCTAAGCATTATTTATTTAATATGATTGCTTGCTTGCTTAGTCTGTGTTACACAAAAAAAGACTACTTTATTACGTCACAGTAATAAATAAAAATTAAAAAAGTGGGCAATTTCTCATTTATGGGAGCCGGTTCCACGTCGCCCTAATTTTGATGATGTTGATGGTGGTGATGACGATATGTTGATGTACAACAAAGTTTATATGACATTAACAAAATACTTATTTTGATTTATTTATTAATTACATATAGATGGATAGATGTCTTAAACGGATGAGAAGGATTTTGATACAAGAAGTTATATTAAAATATTTGTTACATGTTGTTAAATGTTCTTTTGTGAACGATAAAAAGGGTGTTGTAATAATAATTTCTCATTACTGTGCCGTCTTTTTCATTTATGTTTATGAGAAAATCATTCGTGTTACTGCAATTTCTTAATTTAAAAAATCAAATATAATCTTATCTGATATATTCTCAGAAATTAAAAAAAATATTGCCCAGCCATTCTGACATCAGGACGGCTGGTCGCCACTTTGTTCAGCATGAAGGGAGCAGATTTTCCAGAAGTATGTATTACCAATGATTGCTACCTATTTGCTACTTTCACGAATTAAAGGTATACACTTCCTATCTACATTAGTTAAAAGAATATAAACGATTGAAAATTTTACGAAGAAGTATCAACGCCTGCCCTTTGTGTTATGGCAATAAAGCACTAAAAACTTTTGCTTTTTTTAATTTAATCAGGCACTCAGCAATCAGACTGGTCGACAGGCGACCAGCCATCCTGACAGTCACATTTAAACGCAGATGATTTGACTATTTAATTGAAAAATCATTTTATACATTAAAGGCATTTTGGCAATTAATTTCACACTAGTTTGTTTATTATTGAGACGAACGTGACTGTATGATATTAATTGATTTACATTTATTATTTTATTTTAATTTAATTACTTTTGTTTTGATGTCCTAACCGTTGTAGATTTTAAGACTTGGTTTTTCACTGTCCTGTGAAGGTAGAAGTCTACAATCAGTGATTCATGCCTATTTTCACGATTATTATCCTCTCCCAAGCCCTAAAAGATAAATTTTGAATTTTTAAATGGGAGACGCGGTATTTCCCGGCAATGGCATTATTATTATTATGAACTTTATTTTTCTGAGCTCGTATTATTATTATTATTTAGAAGTATTGGACAAGTATAATTACATTTCGTATGTCTTGATGGTACGTCATGGCGACCATAAAATAATGTTAACCATTGACCTACCAATAAATGGACGTCGGGTTCGCGCTAAAAAGTGTCCGCACCTGTAGGGCGTTAAAATCGCATACAGAGCGTCAATCGCGCAACAGTCTTCGTTTGTTCGACTGACAGCGCGTTTGTCAATCATGCAGTACCAATAATACTAACTTTAAAAAAAAATACTGCAGTAAAGTGTAAAAACAGGATTTTGTATCATATTTTCACTAAACAAATATATTGTGTTATCATAGTTCTCATTCAAAAGTGTTATTTTGTGCAGTTTTATAGTATTTAATTTATATATAAATGAATCGTAAATATAAATGACAAAATAATCAAATAGCTAGCTGTTCTTTTTCTACACATTACATGCGCATAAAATGGAAAAAGACCTATGACGTCAGTTTCAAGAAGCATAAAATGGAAAAAGACCTATGACGTCAGTTTCAAGAAGCATAAATAAACTTCTTGGTCATTTTCAATTATTCAAACCACAAGCGATTGAAATATTTAAAACAAAGAAACTATACAGTCGCTTTGATTTTAATCTTATTTTTAAAATGATTTTTTTATTAAACGTTAGCAATAACTAACTAAATATTGTTGTACTCGTTTTACGGCTTGGGATTACCTATCGGAAGTCAGAAAATACATTTACCCGAAATAACGTTAGCTCGAATTTTCATAATGTCAAATATATTTTTTGGTAAGATTACAAAACAAAAGCTAATTTTGGCTTTGTGTAATGTAAAGCATCAAAATTACTCGAAAGCGTGACGGTTTTAGTATAAATTAGTTTTCAGAATTACGGATATTTGAGTTTACATTTAGTTGGAATATCGGTACATTTCTTATAGTACACGCTTATTTTTACGTTTGTAGTAATATTTGTATGTATGTATATGTGTTTGTACAAAATTCGACATAATAATATATATAAAAATTAATTAATTTTTACGATAAAGGCTACTCCATTACTCTTGTGTTCAAGTAATTTTCAGTCGAAGCTAAATATGGAGCATTTCGTTAAGTTTCCAGAAGAAGCTGAATATGGTGTTTTGGGCCTTTAATTTGTTGCAAGCAAAATTAGGTAGTACTGCAATGACGTTACAATTTAAATTAAATGTTTTAGTTTTTTATATTTCGTTACATGTCACTACGTTTGTATAGGTTAACTTCGGATATTTTTTTTCGTGGTTTTAGACACGATGTCCATTTATTGGTAGGTCAATGATGTTAACATCTTTATTGTAGCCAGAGGACTAATAAAATGATTTGATTTGAAACGTTCCTGTTTATCTTCTCACAGCTGTGGCGTTTTTGCAGTTTCTAATGGCACAATTAGGCATTTTTCCCGTTTTCGACTGATGTAGAACTACGTTAACGGCCGGGCGCGTTCTGAAGCGTAGCAGCAGCAATTAAGCGTTTATAGCTTACATTGCGCACGCGAAGTAGGTACAATTGCGGCGTCTTTTTAGATGTATGTCTGTCTGGACAACCCTTGCGGTTTGAAGATAGGCTAGGGAAGCACTCCCCATGCTTAACGCCAGTCTATCTTGTAAATTCATCAAGCTCAAAAGGAAAGAGCTGCGCAGTCTCACGGCAGAAAATGGTGCCGCCGACGGAATAAGCTTATTCCAAGGTGGAGGTACAACATCCATATAACTTCAAAACGTCATAACAACTAAATCTAGTTTTTTACGACTGGAACAGACTAAATCACGACGTTTTTTTTAGTGTAATCAGATCTAAGCTAGGTGTTGTGGTTCTCGAGATTGACAAATGGTGTTGCTGGCTTAAGCTTATTCCAGCATGGACAGTAAAATACCCTTATAACTTTTGAACAGCGGACTGACTAAATCTAGTTTTGTTTAGTGACTAGAACCGACCAAATGGCGACTTTTTATCTGAATAGTCAAATTTCAAAACTCGACCATGGTCACGCTGCCATGTCAATGGATCACTCCGATGTGTCCACACTGTAAAATGAACACGGAAGCCTCGCCGCACTCGACATTGCAATTGATCAAGAACAAAATTGCTCGGAGCTTACAAGAGTGTTACTTGGGGTCTGCGTTAGAAGTGAAAGCCGCCCATGGGCACGGCCTGGTCGGCGTCGAAGCGGAACTGGCCCGAGGTGGACGACACGGCCGGCGCCAAGCGCCCGTCCTCCTCCTCCGACCCGAAGTAGTTCTCGATGATCTCGAACGACTTCTGGTAGATGTCCAGGTTTTCGTGCGACTGCAGAAACTCGATCTTGTCCAGCCCTGGAACAGACGCGGGCGTCAGCGAGCGCCGCCGCCGCGGGGCGACTCGCCGACGCCGGCACGCACCGAAGCACTCCTCGATGAGCACGGCGTAGGGGTTGTCGCGGCAGTCGTGTCTCTGGCCGGCCTTGAGGATGTTGTCGATGCCCTTGAGCGCCACCTGCACGGTCTTGGCGTCCGTCAGCGTCAGCAGCTCGCACAGCGGCGCGATGCAGCCCTGCTCCACCAGGTACCTGCGCAACGAAACCGATGTCGCCAATTCCGCACCGCTTCGGCACCGCCCGCGGCCGGCGGACGAGGACCTGATCTGCTCGTGCGTGCCGCCGCTGGTGGCGTTGGTGATGGCCCAGGCGGCCTCCTTGCGCGTCTTGAACTCGGCGTGGCGCAGGATGTCGACGAGCGTGGGGAAGATGTCGGCGTCGATGACGGCCTGGATCTGGTGCGCGTTGCCGGCCGTGATGTTGGACAGCGTCCAGCAGGCCTCCTTGCGCAGCGGCTCGGCGGCGTGCCGCAGCAGCGCCAGCAGCGCGGGCAGCGGCGCGCAGTTGAGCACGGCCTGCGTCTGCGCGTCGTCGCCCGTCACCACGTTGCCCACGGCGCGCAGCGCGGCCGACACCACGGTGCTCTTGCTGTGCCTGGGGGCGAGCGCACCGTCAGGGCCGCCCCGCCCCGCCCGCCCCGCCCGCCCCGCCCCGCACTCACATCAGCAGCTCCACCAGGCGCCGGCACACGCCCGCGTCGATCACGGCCTGGATCTTCTCGCTGGGCCCGTCCGACAGGTAGCTCAGCGCCCAGCACGCGTCGCTCAGCACGTCCGCGTCCGCGTGGTGCAGCAGCCGCGCCAGCACCGGGATACCTGCAACCCGTGCGTGTGCTCGTCGGGCTCGCGCGAGCGCCGCCGACGCCGCCGACCGGTCGCTGGACACTCACCCGGCGCTACCGCCTCGAAATCGGTCGGCGGGTTTTTACCCCGACACAGATTCGACAGCGTCCAAACGGCGTTTCTGGTCATCGACTGCCGCGTGTACTTGTTGAGTATCCTGCGGGCGAGGTAAAAGAGCTGTAAGCGGCCAGTGGGGCGGGCGGGGGCGCGGCGGCGCAGGCGAGGTACGCACTGGATGAGCGGCGGCAGCACGCCGGCCGCCAGCACGGCGTCGCGGCAGCGCGGCGAGTCGCCGGCGACGTTGCCCAGCGCCCACACGGCCTGGTCGCGCACGTCGTCGGCCACCGCGCCGCCCGCCAGCGCCACCAGCACGGGCACGGCGCCGCACTCCAGCACCACGCGCGTCTGCTCCGACGACCCCGACGCGATGTTCGTCAGCGCCCACGCCGCCTCGAACTGCGACAGCCGTCCCGCTTCAACTACGAGTACCGTGCCGTACGTTGCTGCTTTTTCCCTTGGCCGCCATGGTCACACAATATTCATACTACAATTGGTACATGTCATCTTTAAAGACTCGACAGCCTCAAATTGATTGAAATTTGAAACCATTCATTAGGGCATTACTAAAAGCGCACTCACTGGCACCAGATAAATGAAATGCAACATTGCCAAATGTTTTTTTACTAGTCTCTATGCTCACTTAGAGTCGTATTCCAGAACTCTACTCAATGCTCAAGTCAGGACTTGCGCAGACTTGAGTATGATTTCAAGCACTGGAAATACGACCCTAATGGCAAGGACTTGAGTATGATTTTCAATGCTCACTGCAATACTCAAACCCTGACTTGAGCATTGAGTAGAGTTCTAGAATACGACCCTCAGTGTCCTTTCCCTAAAGCGGGCTATGAGTGTGTGCATTATATTTACTTTTTTATTGTTTCATAGTAAGGAAGAATTACAATATAAAAATATGACACAATAGAAAACAAGTATAGAATGAAGAAATAGATTTCTCAGATGGCTACAGCAAAAAAGTCATTAAAAACCAAAACAAAGATGTTTGTTGCAACACATGGAAACAACTGTAAAATCCTGAAAATGGTTCATTCCGTGGCTTACTTGGCATAGCATCTAGCATGGCCGGGTTCAACCAGCCGGATGGAAGGATTTTTTGTAAGTGTTCAACCTTTGTATTAATAATTATGACACAATATTGTGATATATGATGGGACTTTGACTTACCTGTAGTGTGGGATTAGAATTGTCCGTAAGGAACTCTACAAATTTGGGAACAATCCCTGTTCGTATCACTTCATCTATAGGTGGATTTGGCTCACGGCTGAGTAACTTGCGGAATTTCTGTGTGGCAGACACCTTTTCCTGTGGGTTATCACTGTATAGAGCTGCTACCATTGCTGGTGTGATATCATCAGACTGTGAGATATTTATATCATCCTGAAAAAATAAATTGTGATATCTTTAACATTAAACCTGTCTTGGCACTGGCCTAGCAAATGGCGTCATTCGCCATATTTTTATATTATTTTTTACAAAATCTACCTCACATAGTCACATAGCCATTTTTACCTCACAATACCTCACATAGTCATTTTTACTTGACATTGGCAAAATCATTGACTATTTGGATGGGGCCATAACATTTGAAAGAAGAAACCTGTCTTTCAAAATTTTTGATTGATACTGTTTACACTATTTTGGCACTAATGTGTGCACCTACATTACAACACTGCTGCCATTAGTTGAAAGAGCACATGTGATGTTTAAAGAAAATTGTTATGTATACTGCCGATATCAGTAAAAAAAGGCCGGTCACTACTTAAATTTTATCCTAGTTCGATAAGATATGAAGTTACCGCAAGAGAATAGTAGGCTTTATTAACATTTCATATCTTTAAACACTATTTTCTTGGTTTACACTTTTTGTCACAAGAGCCATTTCAATTAACGACGGCAGAGCATGTTTCAAAATGTTGCAGAAAGAAGACTTTATACCTGTAAGGCTATTTCTGGAGCATTAGGTGCTGGTAGATTGACATTTCTTCGTTTGAACAACTGTTGTTCTCGCTTCTGTTTCCGCAACTGTACCCCCTCCTCTTCGCGCCGACGACGCAGCTCGTCGGCGCTCAGCCCCGCGTTCTTGTAGCGATGTTTGTGCCCACCGGACATCTGAAATGTGAGTAACAATCATGATCGACTATGCAATCATAACGTGTGCCATTCACCAGAATCTGACTATACTCAACAGCGACAAAATAATACACAAGAAGTACTTTTAAAGCATACGTAATACGAAACACGAAACACAGGATAAAATTTATAATAACAATGTTTTGCGAATGAAAATGATCAGCAAAGTTAATAGTAATCTGTTATTTACCCTTCGTGGTTAGGATAGTACTTACATTGGTAAAAGTAACAAATGTGTAAAATAAAGTACTGTGCTTTGTTCCGCCAGTTAATACAACATCAATTAATTCCAAATTTTGACTTCACTTTAAACATGAAATCACGTCACTTTAGATTAGACAGAAAGAACGACGAGGAAGTTGTCCTTGTCAAATGAATGAATGGTAAAATTTGAGTGAGTAATAAAAATATAGGTAATTATATTATTGATACGTTCAGAAAAATGGGAAAGTAAAATAAACCTTCGTTGTGTAGTTCCGAAGTGAACTAATAAATTACTAATAAGTTCTTCGAAGCGTAACTGGGTAATTTTGAGATTAGTTTACCTAATTTCGGTGGCATTTTTTATTTTTTAAGTTTTCGAATATGTCATCGTATAATATTAAATAATATTTCGAGATACTACACCCCAATATTAAGTAATAATTCAAAATAATATTCTAGAATATTATTTCAACATTCCCTTACGGTGTGCTTTTAAAAAAATTATATTATTGTTGGAGATGAGAAGGCGGGATGGGAGAGGGTTCGACCGCCGCCGAACCCGATGATATAAAAGGCAGCGGCGACAGGCGAACGCTCGCTGTGTGCATGATTCAGACACTGTCACTCATCCCAGTCGGCTGTGTTTCAGGTACCTGCTCCGCTCGTCCGACCGCTCGCCCGGTCGTGCCCGCCTTTTGTCCGTCCCGCCGCTGCCGCGGCCTACCTGCGCTCACCCGGTCGCACGTGTTCTTTTCAGAACGCCGGCCCGGTGCTCCGCTACTAAGTATTTCTTTACTTATTTTACTTTCCGTACTTGTGTTATCAACATTTACTAATACTATCTCTTCCCTTTCAGCTTACCTAGTCGTGGGTTCTTTTCAGAACGCCGACACTAAGTTTCATATCTTGTTTACTAGTTTCATAGAGTGTTTCGCATCTTGGTTCGCTATCCGGTGGAAACCTAACGGTGCCAACGAAGCTGGAGGCTCTCTCAAGGAGAGACCGCCTGTGTTCCCGCGAGTCCTCCCCTGCCCCACTTTATATTTAACACGTGCGATTTTAGCTAGACGCGACTGCCCTCGAGTTTCTTGCGCCTTTTCTTCTCGGGGGAACGCATTCCGAAGAGGTGGTAATTCTCAGCTAGGCCCCAGTAGAGCCCCCCTCCTAGGGGGTTATAATGATAGGACCCGGCCTCGTTGGCCGAGTTTAGTATGGCCCTTCCGGCCGCCGCATTCGACCCGTCGCAACTCTTGCGATGGGTCTTATCAAACGAACACATACGCGACGCCGCCCTGTCCGCTTTTCCCGACTTGGCTGCCTATCAGCACCCCGCCCCCCGCCGCCCGATCGTTATGTCCCCAGCACGCCTCGTGCTACCGTCGCCCGCGTCTCCCGACGTCCCTAGGCCCCCCTCCCCCTCCCTTCAGGAGATGGACATTGCTCCTCAGTCCTCTGAGGAATCCGATTTACCCACTGACTCCGACGACTCCACGGAATACACCCTCGTCAAGGGTAAAAAGGGCAAGCGCTCCCGCGCTGCCAAAACATCAGACTCCCCTGCCCCTAAGGCAATAAAAGCCCAAAAGGCTAACTCCCGCCCGTCCTCCGCGCAGGACAGACCCCTCTCCCCCCGCGTATCCAAGCAGCCACCCGCACCCGCGCCGGTACCAAAACCCACCGAACCAGCCCCACCGCTAATAGTAATCCGCTCAAAGGCCCGTTGGGGCGAAATATCAACCCGTTGCAACAGCTTAGGGATAAATATTTTGAAAGCCAAGGCGTCCGAGCTTGGCATCAACATCAAGGTCCAATCGTCGTCGGACCACCGCCGACTCACCCGTCTCTTAAATGACTTGAGTGTAGAATACTACACGTACACACTCCCCGAAGAACGCGTTCTCCGCGTCGTCATCCGCGGGCTCCCAAAGGAGCTAGATGCAGAGGTCATCGCCGCGGACCTGAAATCACAAAACCTCCCGGTACATGAGGTTCACCGAATGTACAAGAGCCGTTCCCGCGAACCATACGACATGGTACTCGCCGTCCTCCCCCTCACACCCGAAGGTAAGAAGGTCTTCAACCTGACTACCTGTTGCCAACTCACCGGCTTAACCGTTGAGCCTCCTCGCAAACGTGGCATGCCCGGACAATGCCACAATTGTCAACTGTACGGGCACTCGGCCCGTAATTGCCGCTCGCAACCCCGCTGCGTTAAATGCGCACTCCCCCACGCGACCTCAGCCTGCCCTAGGCCTAAAGATAGGTCCCAGTGCACCGAGCCTCCTCGGTGTGTTCTGTGCGGAGAGTCCCACACCGCGAACTATCGCGGCTGTGCTAAGGCCCCCCGCCCTAACCACAAGGTGGCGGCGCGCACTGCGGCCCATCAGCAGACTAGGGCACAACCTCAGCCCCTTATGTCCATCCGCGACTTCCCGGCCATCAGCCCTGCCCTTACAGCCCCACTATCGCCCCAATCACCATGGGCAATCCCCCGCGCCAACGCCCCTGCGCCCGCCGCTCCTAAGCAGGCTAGCCCCATCGCCTCCGCTGCCCCTAAGGCAAAAGCACAATCGGCGCCTTCTGCGCATCGACCCACCGCGATACCACCCGCGACTCACTCCCTTAAGGACGACCTGGCCCTCGTGAGCCACTTTGTTAGCACCTTCGACGTCTTCGAAGTTAAAAATCTAGCTACACTCCTCCGCGCCACTGACGGAAACGGCACTGCCCGTCTCCAAGCCATGTCGCGTTTCAGCTCGCTCATAGAATCACTGAGCAAATTCTCCGCCTCTTCGTTCTCCCTCTAAATGGACTTACTAACCAGTAGGAGTAGAGTCAAGCCACGATCACTAAAGCTAGGCTTTTTCAACGCGGATGGCTTATCAAGCCAACGCGAGGAAGTTCGAACCTTCCTCACAGACCACCAACTCGATGTCCTGTTAATCCAAGAAACCTTCCTTAAACCCTCCGCACGAACCCCCATGTTTGCCAACTATTGCGCGGTACGCAACGATAGATTGAACTCGCCCCTCGGCGGTACCATTATATACTACAAACGGTCACTTCACTGCATCCCCCTCGACCCACCCCCTACAACGTACATCGAAGCATCGGCGTGTCGGCTCGGCTTCACCGGCCACCCACCGATCACCCTCATTTCGGCCTATCTCTCCCCTGATACTTCCCGTTCACTAATTCGCGAAGACCTCCAAGCCCTCTTGTCCCTAGGAGATTCAGTAATTCTGACTGGCGACCTCAACGCCAAAAATACTGCATGGAATTGTAACACCACCAACCCGCGCGGTAACACCCTCATGACGCTATCCGAATCCATGCATTTCGATATAATTGCACCTCTAGAGCCCACCCACTATCCGCATAACGTAAATTACCGCCCCGACATCCTAGACGTAGCTTTATTTAAAAATATTAACCTCAGATTAGACTCAATCCACGTCGTTCACGAATTAGTTTCCGATCACCGCCCTGTCCTCTTTCACCTCTCCCCTCGTTCGGACATAGCCCCCCCTGACCCTTGCGCCCCCGTTAAATCGGTGTTGGACTGGGAGAAGTTGAGTCATGACCTCAATTTCCTCGAGTCTGAACACCTAGTTCAGATTCCGGACGAGATCTCTTCAGTCGTAGACGCCAACTGTGCTATTGACCGGCTAGATGGACACATTCAAACCGCCGTTTGTAACAGCTCCCGGCCGGCACCGGCGATACGGACGACCGTCGCTGGAACCTACCGGAGGATGTGCGTGCCCTTCTAACGGAAAAGAACGCAGCCACTCGTGCTTACGACTCTTACCCCACCGACGAAAACCGTCGTTTCCTGCGGGCTTTACAGAGGGACGTAAAGACGCGTATGGACGAGGTACGTCAAAGTCGATGGGAAAAGCTCCTAGAAGGGCTCGAGCCCACCCACCAAGCCTTCTGGCAACTAACCCGCTCTCTCAAGTCCGGCACAGTTGCCCAAATGCCCCCCCTTAACCGACCCAACCGCACCCCAGCATTTGACGACGAGGAAAAGGCCGAATGCCTGGCCGTCAGCCTCGAAGCCCAGTGCTCCCCCAGCCTAGAGCCGGTCGACCCGACCCACCTCCTCCAGGTGGACTCCGAGGTCGAACTCAGAGCAACCCTCCCGCCCTCCGACCCTCCCCTCCCCCCGGTCACCCCAAAGGAAGTAGAATCGCTCATAAAGGACCTTAAGCCCCGCAAAGCCCCAGGCCCTGACGGTATCTCCAACAAGGTGCTTAAACAGCTTTCTGCACCCCTCATCTGTCTCCTGACTGCAATTTTTAACGAAAAAGTGTTAAGAGGCGGTGGTCATCGGTATTCACAAGCCCGGGAAACCTCCATCTGAGCCCTCCAGTTACCGTCCCATCTCCCTGCTTAACACCATGGGCAAACTCTATGAGCGCATCCTATACGCCCGCCTCAGAGACTACGTCATGTCTCACAATCTCCTCCCCGACGAACAGTTCGGATTCAGAGCTAGGCACTCATGCGTCCAGCAAGTGCACCGGATAGTGGAACACATCTCCGAAGGCTTCGATCGCCCCCGCTTCATGCCCACCGGCGCCCTCTTCTTCGATGTGGCAAAAGCCTTCGACAAAGTCTGGCACAACGGCTTACTTTACAAGCTGTATAAACTCGGCGTGCCTGATCGTCTCGTGCACATCATTCGAGACTTCTTGTCGAACCGCTCTTTCCGCTACCGAGTTGAGGGCGCACTCTCCTCCCCTCACCCCGTAAGAGCTGGAGTCCCGCAAGGCTCTGTCCTCTCGCCTCTCCTTTTCTCCTTGTACACTTGCGACATCCCCAAGTATCAGGCAGTAAATCTCGCCCTCTTTGCCGACGACACTGCGCTCTACTATTCGGCGCGCAGCTCCAAGTTAGTTTCCGCGGCTCTCCAATCTGCCACCACACGCCTAGGCGAGTGGTTTCGCAGATGGAGAATCGAAGTCAATCCCGACAAAAGCGCGGCGGTATTCTTCACGCGAAGTAACCTATCCAGTCGTAGGGTA